CAGCGTAAACAGCGAGGCTGTGCCAGCCCCCAAAAGCGGGGCGTGCCAGCGTCAAACAGCGGGCTGTGCCACCCTCACACAGCGGGGCTGTGCCACCCTCAAACAGCGAGGCTGTGCCAGCGTAAAACAGCGAGGCTGTGCCACCCTCACACAGCGAGGTGTGCCAGCGTCAAACAGCGGGCTGTGCCCCAAAGGGGGTTCCCAAACAGCGGGGCTGTGCCAGCGTCAAACAGCGGGCTGTGCCAGCGTCAAACAGCGAGGGGTGCCACCCTCAAACAGCGAGGCTGTGCCACCCTCAAACAGCGAGGCTGTGCCAGCGTCAAACAGCGAGGCTGTGCCACCCCCTCCCCCAAAGCGAGGCTGTGCCAGCCTCACCCCGCGGGGCTGTGCCAGCGTCAAACAGCGAGGCTGTGCCAGCGTCAAACAGCGGGCTGTGCCAGCGTCAAACAGGAGGCTGTGCCAGCTCAAACAGCGAGGCTGTGCCACCCTAAAACCAGCGAGGCTGTGCCACCCGCAAACAGCGAGGCTGTGCCAGCGAAAACACAGCGGGGCTGTGCCAGCGTCAAACAGCGAGGCTGTGCCAGCGTCAAACAGCGAGGCTGTGCCAGCCTACACAGCGAGGCTGTGCCAGCGTAAAACAGCGAGGCTGTGCCAGCGTAAAACAGCGGGCGTGCCAGCGTCAAACAGCGAGGCTGTCCCAGCCCAAACGCGAGGCTGTGCCAGCGTCAAACAGCGAGGGGGCCCCCCCGGGGCTGTGCCAGCTCAAACAGCGGGCTGTGCCCCTCCCCGGGGCCCAGCTCAAACAGCGAGGCTGTGCCAGCGTCAAACAGCGAGGCTGTGCCAGTAAACAGCGAGGCTGTGCCAGCTAAAAGCATTCCAGTCAAACCGAGGCTGTGCCACCCTAAAACAGCGAGGCTGGCCCCAAACACCCTTTCCAGCGTAAAAACAGCGGGGCTGTGCCCGTCAAACACGGGGCTTCCCGCGTCAAACGCGAGGCTGTGCCAGCTCAAAAGCGGGGTCCCAGCCTCAACAGCGGGCTGTCCCAGCTCAACAGCGGGGCTTCCCCCAAACGGAGGCTGTGCCGCGAAAACAGCATTCCCAGCCTACCGCGGGCTGTGCCGCCCAAAACAGGCTGTGCCACCCAAAACCGGGTGTGCCAGCTCAAACAGCGAGGCTGTGCCAGGAAAACAGCGGGGCTTCCCACCCAAAACCGAGGCTGTGCCAGCGTCAAACAGCGAGGCTGTGCCAGCTCAAACAGCGAGGCTGTGCCACCAAAACAGCGAGGCTGTGCCACCCCAAAACCCGGGGGTTTCCAGCTCAAAGCGAGGCTTGCCAACCACAGGCTTCCACAAACAGCGAGGCGTGCCAGCGTCAAAAGCGAGGCTGTGCCAGGTAAACAGCGAGGCTGTGCCAGCGTAAACCCGGGGGTTTCCAGGTCCCCGGGCTGTGCCAGCCCCCCCTTTCCCGTAAAACAGCGGGCTGGCCAGCGTAAACCAGGCTGTGCCAGCCCCCCGGGGTTGCCGGTCCCAGGGGGCCCTAAAACCCGGGGGCTGGGGGGGTTTTCAAAAGCGGGCTGGCCAGCGTAAAACAGCGAGGCTGTGCCAGCGTAAAACAGCGAGGCTGTGCCACCCTAAACCAGGCTTCCAGAACAGCGAGGCTGTGCCAGCGTCAAACAGCGAGGCTGTGCCGCGTCAAACAGCGAGGCTGTGCCGGGTCCCACGGGGCGTGCCAGCTCAACGGGAGGCTTGGCCCCCCGCACTTGCCAGCTCAAACAGCGAGGCTGTGCCAGCGTCAAACAGCGAGGCTGTGCCGGGTAAAAGGGGGCTGTCCCAGCTCAACAGCGAGGCTGTGCCAGCGTCAAACAGCGATGTCCATCAAACGCGAGGCTGTGCCAGCCC